GAATAGGAATGGGAGTAGTGATACCAGGAGGGCAGGGGGAAGATGGAAAGAGGGGAGGAGGAAGGGTGAACCAATCATGATGATTGACACATAACCGCACCCCCTCCCAGGGGGATGAACAACAGGAACCATGACAGATGAGAGACAGTGGTTGGTGTAAGATATGAAAAAAATAGCCATTTATAATTTATCAAGGTGAGGGGAGAGGAGCAACATATGCACAAATGTGCTTAATGCAATTGATGTATGGATTGTTACAAGAGCTGTAAGAGCCCCTCAATAAAATGTGTTGGTTTTTTTAATGTTGTCTATCAGACAGCATTGTAAATTCGATTATGGCAGATGTCGGTAGGTAAAAATCTAAATCATTTGATCACCCTTTTGACCCATTTTAAAGTTGTTTCTTGTTTGGGGGCGTTTTTATTTTAAGTGAAGGGGAAATACGAAGGGATCAAGACGCTGGTGAATTCCCTCCGACTGTAGACGGGGATGTGAGTGCGTATCCTTGCTATCCTGCAGAGTGCATGGGAAAGTGGATTACTGCAGAAGCAGATAGGTTACCATCTAACACTTTACCATTTGATCTCCCTTTTGACCCATTTTAAATTTGTTCTGGTGTGCAATATTTCCTGCTTGTTTTTTGAGTGAGGTTTTTCTCTGGTTAATTTTGTTACTATGGCTCGGTTGTGTATGTTTGTTTGTTTGTGTTTGCTGGATTGGAGGTAGAGTGAAGAGGGTTCGGTTTCTAATTGTTGTTGTTTTGGCATGTTTTCCAGTGTATGAAATCCAGCATAGGTAAATCTATGGAGATAGTAATGGCTTCTTGGCTTCTTGCGGGGTATGGAAGGAGAGATTAGAGGGAAATGAGGAGCTAATAACAATGAGTACAAGGCAGAAGAAAACATTCTAGAACTGATTGTAGTGATGATTGCACAACTCTTTTTAATTTGACTGAACTATTGAAGTGTATGATACATGAATTAGATGTCAATAAAGCTATTAATATATTAAAAAATGACACCTTCAAGCACTTAAACTGGGTTCATTATATGTTCATTATACTTGAGTTCAACTGATTGTGAAAAAAGCAAAAGTAAGTCTATTCCTAGACCAAGAGAAGCTTTATAAAAATAAAGGAGAAAACGTTGCCACATAATTTCAAATGTGCGTGGGAAATGGCCTTGACGCTCCAAGTCAGGAAGGATTTGTAAACATCCAGAATGTACCTCAGCCTTCACTGTTTAAAGCTGTCCAGGCTCTCAAAGGAAAGAAGACATACAGGGCATAGAGCAGAACATCTATTTCACAGGCCGGATTCATTTGGTGGAACATAAACATGTCTGCGTGGTTTTCTTGTAATTTTATACAAGAGTCCAGTGACCCAGTAAACATCTGTGGCTACATGCAGAAATCTCAGATCTCTCAAGAGCACATCAGGCCAATAAAAATCAGTCTAGTCAGAAAACGTTGTATCCGTTCCCATAAGGTGCAGAACATCAGACTTACTCCAACTGCCCTTGCTGGCCTCGATGGAAATGACCTGCTCTCCGTTCTGTTTCTATATTTTTTATGCTTAGAAAGGTCCGTCTGTTTAAGTCTAGTCACAACCACAAGCAGGCACATTGGATGACATGGTCCAAATGGACAAGGAAATACCTCACCGGGATCTTCTTGGCCAATCCACCTCTGTTGGCAGTTGTGTTCCAACTCATCATGACCCTGTAAAATGTAGCACAACTGTTTATCCAAGTAGATGGAGCAAAATGTAGAGTCAACAGGACAGGCCTATGTTTATGAAAGCTTTTCAGAGCTTGGTAAACTATTCAGAGATATAG